GTTCAGCTTAGCCAACCGCACACACAGTAAAATCATACCCATCCTTTTTCTTTTGTAGTCGGATAAACAACCGGTTCACAACGGTTGCGTATCGGCTGCTTTGGATAAATATCCGTTGTCAACAGTTGCTTTACATCTATTAATGACATTAAAATAGGGAAAAACATTTCATACAGTAGGCAACACTCGAATATTATTGCGCAGTATTATTACTTGTATTGACATTCAGCTTTCGTATTAATTTATCAAGAAATACACCAGAAAATTGTATATTTACTTATGAAAAGTGATGTTCTTATCTTTTTCTTTTTTCCAAGAGTAATTTTTACATGATTTCGCAGCACAAACAGTCATTTTCCGAAATTAAAAACACTGGTGCATGATGTATGTTCGCAGTGTCGCTGGCGTAATGGCGGAACGATCGAACGAATACGCCAATATTGGCGCCTTTTAAATGGAAGCGTTTTAGGCGCGCGTACACGGTATCTGTACCTATAAAACATCTTTGACACAATACAATGGCTTACTTGTAGGAGGATTGGCGTCGCCGGGAGCACACATACAAGCAATTACGTCGTATTATCAGTTATCACTACTACAAACACTTTTTAGACTTTTGATTAATGTTTTTGACACATAAATGTTTCTTTTTTGTTTCTAATATTCACAAAATATAAATAGTTTCGACTTACTGGTTGTAGGATATGTCTCCTTTATATAAATTCCATTTCCCGCTTTCGACACGTAATTATTGCACAATTTGCCATTTTTAAATAATTTGCATGCAGTGACGCTTGACACGAAAATTGGAAACGATTGATTGTGTTGACATTTATACGTGTGAATTGACGTGTTAGTGACATGTTAGTGGCTACATGGGCTCCGCCCACCCTCCCGTTCTATTATGTATGTATTATAGTATTCTATGGTTCTGTATTTATTCTTATGTTTCAATAAATGTTGAATTTATTTTAAATTATTAAATATTATAAATTTTATGTATGACTTAAGTAAAACATACCGTACAATAATCGGTTAGTTAATCCCCGCATGAGCGTAACTTGAACGTGGTTTTAAATCACCGTGTAATATAAAGCTGTTAACGAAATTCTACTAGTCTACCAGGATTTGTACTCGAATCCACGCAAAAATAAAAAAACGAAAACAAAGGAATGATCTAAAGGAAAGATAGCACACTGAGAAACCTGAACCAGTAATAGCGAAGTAAAAAGCTATACATAGACAGAAGATGGAAAAAGCTCCTGGTTTGGATAAAATTACAAATGAACTCATCAAAGGCATTCTCGAAGAACTTCCACCCATACTTACATAAATATTTAACAAAATATTGAAGACTAGCATAATATATACACAGTGGAAAACATCGCATATCGATTTTATATTTAATAAAAGACGAAAAGGAGACATAGGTAATTACAGAACCCTAAGTCTGGTCGTCAAATATCTGCAAGGTATCCTCCAAATTTATCCTGGAATGAATAAGCAAAAAGATTGATGAAAATCAATCACAAGCACAAGCTTGCTTCAGATAAAAATTTGCCACCTACACACATACACAGTGTGAAACAAATAATGGAAAAATTCAAGGAATATAATAAAAACCTATATAGTATGACATTTATCGACTATTGCGAGGCCTTTGATAGTATAAGCCACAAAGCCATATTTTAGAGCCTGGAACAACAAGGGATACCTTCTAAATATATTGAAATTATCAAGAACATATTATATTTAGGGGGATAAAATCACCGAAATTATTCACGGCCGTACTGGAAAGTATCTTCTGCAACATGGACTGGAATGGCTTTGGTATGAGTGTACCCGGTGTGAGACTTAACCATTTAAGATTTGCGGATGATATGATCCAGTTTAAAGAAAATCCGACTCACCTCGAAGAAGTGATAAAGTCACTTAACGAGAAAAGTACGAAAGTAGGTTTCGCTATGGACAAGAATACAAAATTCTTAAGTCTCAAAAAATAGATATAAAAATCGACAACCTACCAGTAGAATATGTGCAAGAATACTAGAAACAAAAACGAGAACGAAGGACGAGAATAAGAATCCATCTAGGAGAGATAATTTGTCATAAAGGCCACACCACTAAGGAAATTAAGAGGTGTTACAAAAAAAATGCGAAATTACGAGGTTTCCTCGTTGAAATTATATGTTTTCTAATAAGCTCAAAGCAAATTAGATAACTTATTTATTTGTTTAGTAATAATCATTCTCCCGATGCATGTTTAGACCAAAACTCTGAGAGACATGATTTGGGAGCTCTAGTTTGTAGATATTATTGAATATCGACCATCAATCATCAATTTTTTATCTCACAAATATCCTGGAAAACAAAATCGACATAATTCAATTATCTACCCAAAAAGCGTCGATACAACCCCTAATATCTCCGAAGTTCTATATTATTTTGACGTAAAATTTATACCAAAATAATCAACATTTGCTTAAACTATACTGATTTTAACTTTTTAAATCGTTACTATTATTTTTTAATTAATTGCAATAGAAGTACCATATATTTTACTGCGTCGGCCATCTGAATTCATTACCGCGCACGCGGCTCTCGAGGTCGACCTGTGTCAATTTATTTCGCCCGCTTCGTCACGTTTCGATATTATCGTAGTGTGCGTCAATGACTGTGCCGCTGCTATTTTGTGCAAGAGCATCGTCAACTACGCCCGCAATTTTTAATCGTTGGAAGTATTTACTTTCGTACAGTATATTCAATTAGTATAAAGTTCGCACATTATTTTACCAAATAGTTAACCCATGATACTTAGGGTATGTTCCAAAATAGAACCCAGTATACTTTCCAATGCAAATGACGTCATGAATCGATGCCATACTGATGATACGTTCCAAAACATAGGACTGTATAATGACGTCATATATTTGCGCCATATTGGAAAAGTGTTGGCGATTATTTTGTCATTTTGTGCTCCAAAAATCATTATATCCTCCTAATGGAAATACTAAAAATTATTCTATAATTTTTTGTATTTGAATAAATAAAAACAAATTCTGGCATGCTTCATTCGGAGTACACACAATTAAAAATTGTTTTAATTTGGACGGATATCCGACACAATATGGCGGCGGCACGCCTGTACAATACGGCGTCAATTGATGACGTCGTTTATATTTGGCAGTATACTGAAAACGTTTCGGAACATACCCTTATTTTGATTGTAGATGAGCTTTTTTATCAGTCGGGTCACTAAACTTAAAAAAAGAAATATCTCTGAAGAAAAAATAATGGAGAATATAAATGTCTGCATGATTGCCATATGGACTTGCTCAGATTATGTAATAAAAGTACTAAAAATCGACAACGACGACAAATTTTGGATTGTGAATATATTACCCAAGTTACAAGCCTTTTATAAAAAGTGTTTACTGCCTGAAATTATTGACTTGAGATAAGCTCGGTCAATGCCGTTGCGGCAAATATTTTATAATAAAAATATGGTAATTGACTGTAAGTACCGATAAAAAAAATATTAGTTGAAGGTGGTTATTTTATTTTATTTATACCACTATGCTACCGATAATAGATATTAACCAACATCGGTTAACAATCGATTATTGTAAAACATTTAAATATTTATGTGTACTTATTTCAACACTAAGGTTCGTAAATAATGAAAAATATATGAAATAGATTATAATAAATTAATTAGATAACATAAAAATGACACACCAAAAATTTTCCATCCACTGAACTCTACCCTAAGAAAACTTTTTTTTAGTAGTAGTAGTAGTAGTAGTTTAGTCGCTATACTCACAGTGCCATAGTGCGAGCGAGTGAATAGAGAATGAAATAAAATATTGCTCGCGTAGGTCATCGCCCGCTCGGAGCGTAAAATACCTAAATTTGCGTAATGCCGAAATGTAAGAGGGCTCTTAATAGAAAAATAGCAAACGGATGCAAGCTTTATTATGTAGGTAGGTACAAAGTAGGTAGAAACAACAACCTCCTGACATGCAGACGGACGGACGGACAGCGCGGGCTTTGTAATGGGGTTCCGTTGGTTACTCTTCGGGTACGGAACCCTACAACAGAAAAGCCTTTGACACCTGTATACTTCTAGTCATTACTTACGGATGCGAAACTTGGTCACTCACCAAACATCACAAAGAAAATTTGGAATCGTTCCAAATTTTAGAAAGCCATGGAGAGAAGAATTACGGAAATTAAAAACAAGATAAAGTGAGAAGTAGCAAAATTAGACAAGAAACGAAAGTAGTTAACGTACTTACTCAAATAAACCAGCAGAAGTGGAGATGGATCGGTACCATGATCCGAGATATATAAGATAAGTGGAGCACAGATGTCTCTTACTGTTACCTCAGAGATAACAAGCGTAGTAGAGGACGTCAACAAACGAGATGGGAGACCACTTAAAACTCATGGATGAAGATGGGTGGTGCTAGACAGAACTCCGTAGAAAATGTTAGAGGCGGCCTATGCCTGATGCACGCTGAATTTAACACATTTGACATGCAATTTTTTAACTTGTACTTCAGCATAAAGGTTATTATTATTATTATTATTATTTAAAGTGAGAAATTTTTCTGTATATCACCAGTCCATTTCAAAACTAAGGTCTGCCATAGTAAATTTTACAAACACGGTCTTGAGCCATCTGCTTTTATCGACGTTCTGCATTTCTTATCAGATCGTCACTTATCTAGTGAGGATGCACCATAAGCTTACCGGTACGAGACTGCCACTAGAAAACCTTCCCCATTTGTTGCCGGTTCTTCGTACAGGAAGTCGATTGATGCAACAGTACAGGATCATATTTTCTTGTGGGAGGCCTAGGTTCAGTAGAGGACTTTTGAAAAGTTGTAATGATAATGATAATAATAATGATGATAATAGCGGTAAACTCTCACATATGTGGTGTGTGGTGGACGATATTAACAGGTAGTTGAGACTTGTGAATGCGTTGTTTTCAGGCAACATCCGTCGGTTCCGGCGCGTGTGCGAGGTGGTGCAGGCGGCAGTATGCCGCGCGCCCGGAGCAAGCCGCGCGCCCGCGTTGCACCCGCCGTCACCGCGCGCGCAGCGCCGCACCATACACCCGCACGGTACGTACACTCGTACACGCACATAAACACACACACACACACACACACACACACACACACACACAAACACAGGCAGGCAGTCGCGCGAACTCGCTGCACCCGCTCTCGCCGCGCGCGCATCGCCGCACCATACACCCGCACGGTACGTACACTCGTAACCAAAAACACACACGCACACACACGCAGTCACGCGCCCTCGCTGCACTCTCCCCGCCGCGCGCGCAGCGCCGCACCATACACCCGCACAGTACGTGCACACGTACAAGCACACCCACACACATACTCGTACATACATATATTGCACCGCACCATACACTCACACTACGAGAAAATCAGTTATCCTCTCAACTGTCCCGGCCCAAATGGTCGCTTTGGCGCATACTGTCCAAACCTAAACGAGTGATTTATTGCATAAGTGGCGCGTGTCATTAAGATGGCAATATCTTAATAATTATGAATGAAAACTCTATAAAATTGTATGTTGTTAGAATTATTGTTAAGTAAGCTAATGTAATATGTGTACATTCACCTTTTTTATATTTTCTAAATTCCATGGTAAAAATGCTAAAAGCGATTTTTTCCAGTTTGGTGAATAAAAAATGTAAAAAAAAACAATTATATCAATAAATATTTATTTTATTTACAATAAGATTAATACACTTCACAATAAATAATAAAAAAACACATCTCTGCGTACATTTTTTACACCACAAGCTCGATAATAATGTGGGCCACTTAAGATGACCCAGAGCAGGCACAAAAAAGGCACATTTTGTACTTCAATAGCGACAATTCCATACCGAGATAAGTAGTTTAATTATATTAAAACAATGGTGTAGTTAGAGGCAATGGTGTAGTTAGAGTTAGAGGGAGATACAGATTTACTATGGCTGTTACGTGTCTGAAGTTTATAAGTAAATTGCAACCTTTTAAAAGTTGTGGACAGAAGCGTACTTTTTTAATAGCGACCTTTAGAAGGTTTTGGACAGACGAGAGGATATTGGGTTTTCTTTAAAAAATTCTTAGTAGCAACCCGGAGTCAGGAAGTTAGTGGTGTTTTCATCCCCGAGCCTCGGAAAACACGTAAAGCCTGGACCTACGCATGATCTTTCCGATTATGTCGGATTACCATCACATCGGACTATGAGAATGAGGAAATAGACAGTGCACCTGTGCTTGCGCATACGTTCACACGCACACGCACATACCGACGGACGGTACTTATTGATACTACTGAACGTAATTATTCTTTTACAATGTAGTAGGTCTATTCGGTCTAGGAGTTTCTTAGTCAAGAAGAAACCTCCCTCAGAACTATTTCTGTAGCCGAGCAGTAGTGCACTTAATGTTGTTCCGATTAGAATGTAAAATAATAAAGGTAAAGTTCTTCATCGGGGTTGGATAAAGAATTTTATAAGCTACGGTAACTGGATCGATTTATTTGTCACTTATAATTAAAATTTAAAAAAAAGATCTTTTATATTTCAGCGGCGGGTGAGATTCCTGATAGTCCAGACCAGCCACACTTGCACTCGGACCACGACAGCGATTCCTCAGTCTTTGATACAGTAAAAAGCCCCAGCCGTACTTCAATCGACCAACTAGATCAGGTAAAAAGGATTAAACCTTTTTTCACAACACCCGCAAAAAAGATGCCCTTTACTGCATTAATAAATATTTATGTGTGCATTTATAGATAACTGTTAACTACTACCCCTTTACGCATAATTTTTTTATTTAATTATTTAATTCCAAAATTACAAAAAAAAAAACTAACGGAAGTCTTATTTATTAACAAATACAGTAGGGATCATTCTTTTAATCACGAGAGGTTTTTCAGGCCACGTCACCTCACCACCACCTCAGGCCTTTTATATCCCCCTTCCCCCTTCGTAATGTCGTAAAGTTTTAGGTTATCCTTCCTACCCTCATCCAAAATATACACGTGTATTTTATTATTGAAAAGATCAATTTTTTTAGAAATCTGTTTTAATAAATGATATCATTAAGTTGGATTCTGAAAATAAATATTAATGAAATTATTAATTTAGTTAGTAATAGTATAATATTACATTATTATTGATAAAATATACTCATCACACATTTAATTCCATTATTTCGTCGCACGTAAAAATACACGTGATTGTCACATAATTCCCCCCTTCCATCGTTATTAATCGTAATCTATCTCTGACCCCCCTCCCCCCCTGTTCGAAAGTTTTGATTGTCCCCCTCGTCGGTCTTGGTATTATACATCTTAAACAAAATGGTAATGCCACTTCCATTGAAAACTATTTTTTTCTGGCATTTGGCCCACGGAACGAAATGTGATAAGGGATTTTCTTACCCCGCATGGTCATTAAAAACGTAATACAAGCAGTTAACACAAAAAGCACCTTCTTCAACTTATCACAACAATAGTTAACAACAATAAGACACTGGCTGTCGCGGGCCAGATTGATGACACTAGTCTTAAGTTATCGCGGGCGGTATTTTGGACAGGCCAGGTGTAGACGATAAAGACTTAAAAAATGGCCATTCTCATTAGTTACAATATGATTTTTCACCCCTCTCCATGAGGTCTCAAGGGCTAGGAAGAGTAATAAATATTAAAAAAAAACTATTACATATAATTTATCCCCGTCACATGACAAATAATAATGCTCTCCAGGCTGAATTTGGCTCAATCAGCCAGTCTCAATGAAGTCTAGCCAACCGCTTCTGTTGATGCAAATTCCAGTTGTTAGACATCATAGATATTTAGCACGGATTATCGAGAATAGAAATAATCACAATTAAATGTAACGAACTGTGAGATATTGTAACGAAATTTCATATTATGGTAACAGTTCCATATCAACCATCGGGTGTCATTAGAAACAACGAAGGGAAGCTAAAACATTAGATGGACAGCAGCATCTTTCTAATAATTACTCAAAATAATAAAAATTGCCGATCTGCCTGCTAGCGTGGCAACTGTGGCAAATATAACCCTTATGAGGCAAACTATGGTGAACTTAGTTGGAGGCTGCAATAATGATAACGAGACGAACATACGTAAAGACCATTAGAATCTGAACGCTATGAACCTCAAAAGGATATACAGGTTGTACGATAAGTAATCGACAACCCCGCAGGTATGGAGGGCACGTGAGCCACTCAGAAAAAAATTAAATAAAAAATATATCTGCAGCAGTTTGGAAAAAATTTAAGTAATTTGATGCCTTCGTTCACGTTATTGAATACAATGGCTACAAATTTATTAATAACCAATTAATTTTCTCTGGAATTAACCGTGAATGATTGGCATTTCCATCGCTCAATACCAAATATTTCTAGCTGTAACTGTTTCTTTTTAAATACACTTAAACTGATAATAAAATTATCAGTTTAAGTGTATTATTATATATTTTCGATTTTTTAATGTCGAAGTATGAGTGCCTGTTGTCTAAAAAACGTATGGTGACCAGGGTGGAAAAACATGCCTATTTCATGCAGATTCTATAACGGTAGTAAACTTAATTTCTTTGTTGTAAAATTACTGAGTTATTGCTATGTTTCCCTAGTCATATTTTTCGTAAAATAAACAGATACAAAAATAACACATTTGCTTCGGAAATCTGTAGGAGTGTGTTTCTATAAGGTGGCTGGGGCGTCATAACCTCACCGGTACCTGCGGGTTTATCCATTACTTACCGGACAGCCTGAGTTCCAGAACAAAAGAGTTCTGAGTTTGAGTTTCACACAAAAAAAAATACAGGTGAAATGAGAACTTTCTCGGTGAGGTTGAAAATAAAATAAAAAATATTAGAGAAGAACATCAAAATGAAATAAATTGTAATAAGATTATGTTAGGAATAAAATTGCATCAAAGTAGTAAAAATAAAACCATCGTTCAAATAAAATGTAATAAAATTTGTTTCTTACTAAACACGACACTTCGATTTTTCAGAATGGGACTCATCCACTAGGGTCGAGTTCTTCAGTAACTAGCGGGTCCAGTGGTTACAAAGTAAGTATTTACATTACTGTGTACTTTTTTGTAAGGTTTTATAATTTGTCAATAATATAATATATGTAATTAATATGTATAATAATATTTATGTAAATGAATTGTTTAATATATATACAATTACTTTTCAATATGTTGTATATACAAAATCCAATAAAATGTAGTTGAAATAGAATACTGTAATTGCTTTTATTAAAACTTTTCTCCGGGCTTCTAAAATTCAAAAAAAAAAAACACACCACTGCAATAATTATTGTATTACACATATTTTATTAATTATTAAGTGTAATTATGATACCGCTAGATTACAACTTAATATATATTGCACGCACAGCTGTGTACCCGTGTGAAGTGCATAGAGAGCAATTATAATCACAGGCTATGGGGCATTCCATTTTAGTAATCAGAGATGATAACGCAGCTGTATAGGCCACTCAAATAAGGTCTTAATTCAAAATTATGGCACTCAACTTTGAATTTTTAATATAATGCAGTTTTAATGATACAAAAACAATGTGTAAAGATTTTTGTGACTGCAACCACCGGCGAAGGTTGAAAATAAATTGTCAAAAATGTTTTTTCGCAATTAATCGAAAACGGTAAAAATTAACCAAACGTTCTGATAAAAAGGTCTTATGATTTTTTTCCTCATGTCAAAATTAACCGGGTTAGAGGGAGGTTTTAAGTTTAAGGGATGAACGTAATTAAAAAAATCGTAGGTAGTAGAAAAATAAGTGATTTTTTTATTGCTTAAAAAATCTAATCTTTAATTTTAGGGGTATAGATGTTTTTATTGATAAAAATATAACAATTTGAAAATTTAAAATTGTAATTTGAATGCTTAAAAATTAATGAATTATTTTTTTACAATATTTAGATTCCTCGTAAAACTTCCTATATTTTACGATTGAAAAAAATTTTACCTGGTTTATTTCGGCAGGTGTGAATTTATACAGGTATAAATTTTTTTCAAATTCATTCATCAATCTGATGTTAATTTATTACAATTCTTAAAACCGGATAAACGACCCTATTCTCTAGGTAATAGGGTCGATTATCGTTTGCTTACGGTCCATGTGACACAATGCGTATGTAATCAGTCGTGCGATTGCAGCAAAGTGTCCGCAGTCGGCGCGCCGCCGAGCCAGCCTCCGCCTCACTCGACCACGAGATCATGAGCTGCGGCCGCGACCTGCCAGGTGTGTGGACCTTAACACTAACCAACCAAGGTTCAAAATTGAATGTTCACTTTCACGTACATACTTTATATATTCGTATATCAATAAAACCGTGTAGCGGTATAAGAATCTTATAACCTTGTGTGTTAAGTGGCGGTGTTAGAATATCCACTACCCTATATCGTCCTGTGGGTGACGTAAGAGCGATAGAGGGAAGCTGAATTACAAGGTGGGCAGCATCTTTCTGATAACAGTTAAATTAAAAAATTGTGATTTTCAACCTACTTTCCAAGCGTGGCTTGGCATTTATGGCAAATATCCCCCCATGAGGATATATATAACCCTATAGAAAACATAGACTTATTATACTACTGTGTATGGACCAGGTCATTGAATAAACAAAATGGCACTGACTCATTGGTGCTAAAATGCTTATGGAGCACCAACGCGACCAAAAACGCGTGCTGTGCTTCCGTGCAGTGTTTCCACTTTTAGATATTTGCACTATTTTAGGGTAAATCTTCTAATATAGGTAGGGCTTTGGGCGTTTCTTCAAGTTGGCAGGGTTTTGGATAATTTGGGGTAATACCGAACTTCATGTAACCCTGATTTTTCTTCCCACACAATGTATTTTTTTTAGATTTATTGAAGGTGATAGCGTCAAAAGAGCTAGAAAAGTGTAGAATGAAAAAGATTTTCTTTAATAAATAAAATAATAAATATACTACGGCCAACGAGAAGCGATAGCAAATGTAAATAAAACCAATGCAAGGTTATTAGGAATAGCAGGGGTACTTTTTGATAGTTAGATTATATATTTAAGTAGACAATATAGTTTTAAAAAATGTTTAGCAAAACAAAAAAAATCTTTTTATAAATATTGTTAAAACTTGAATTATTGTATAATGTAGATTTAAATTAAATAAATGCTTTCTGCGCCATCTCTTTTCTGTATGGGTATTTATAATTAGGCTAAGTTTATTTAACATATTTGTAGGTATTAATAACCATATTTTTTAATTTGCAGTAAAACTAGTCAACTAAAATTAAAAATTAAATTAAAATGATATACATACTTTACTTACATGTATCTTGAATAGATTAAGAAAAGTTTTATTATTACAGTTGCTGTTTTTTATAACTTTAAGACAGCTTTAAAGTACGCTCCGAACCGAAAGAAGTTCTAATCAAAACTACTAAACAACATTCATATATATCCTATTCCTATACATATTTTTGGCGTTTGGACGTTTCTTTTTCGGAGAAGTAAAATCTGTTCGTTTATCTCTCGACATACTTGGTTGTGGCTCCACCATTAACCACTCTTAATAAAAAACAATTATCAACAAAACAAAATAACAATAATTAAATAAACAACAATTCCTAAAATGGCCGAATGTTGGCGATCCCGTCTTAACCCTGACATGTTTTTGCCGGGAAAACGAGACATTATGACAAATACATAAGATGGAAAGAGATAGATAATAAGATTGTCAACTCCGCAGTCGTTTTCAAGGTAAATGACCTTTCGTATCGCTGCTCGTTGGCCGAACTATAGAATAGAATAATGGTGTATTTTTACTTAGTTATATATTCGTTATTCATATAAGACTAAGTGTTATTATAATTTGAAAATGAGAACATTTTCTTCATCACAAAACTCAAAAATTTTAATCGTGAAATGATATTCAAATCTTGCAATGATGTTCTTCTTTAAAATATTGAAAATTAGGTGCAATAAATAAGGCTATTTTGATTTTTTACGATAATTTAAGAAATATTTTTACAGGTTCTAGGGTAAAACCAAAATCATATGTGAGGACACTGGTTCCGTGGTAGTTCATGAGATTGTGATTATTCTATGCTTAAACCGTGATTAATTTTTGTTTGCACGGCCCTATCTTGCCATGTATATCAATGATAGAAAAGGTCTATTTTAAAAAGTGGACTTTTGATAAACTTTAATGTTAACAGTAATGTCATAATAACATCACGTATTCGTACAGGCTATAGATGTCACCTTAACATCGACGCTACAAGAACCTGACCTGAACGCTCGTTTTTATCATAATAATTATTGATGCGACTGTTAGCGATCGTGTAATTTATGAACGTTTGGACTACGTGTTGGTTTAGTGCTAAAAATGAAAATTACTAAATTTGGTTCCGATAGGTGGCGCTGTATTCGAATTTATTGATAATATTATATTAACAATGTAAAAAGTCGAGAGACATTTCGGAGTAAAACTCATCACGCCACCTACCAAAAAGGGTTGTGTATAAAGCAACGAATGAATTGTCTCGATTTAAATCATGACGTTTACAGATTTAATCAGCATAGAATGTTTACTAATTTATTATATTGCATACTGTCGACTTGATAAGGACGCTCTACTCGCTCTTATTAAATTCGATTTGTTATTTTTATACCGCACATTAATATTGAGAGGAAACGCTAAAACATAGCAACGAGCCTCTATAGTGAAACAGCAAATATTAATTTTACTGACTAAAATACGATAATCGTAAATATTTCGAACTTATAATGGAATTCTTAGGAATGTGTTCATTTGTTTATCGTAATTACCTAGCGCTTGTTTACTTACTTTACTTCCTACTATCGTCTAAATGCTATGGGTTGTGTGTCTTATTCTTAGTTGCTTGCATGAATTCACGCGGTAGAAAAGGGAGAAAGAAATAGTGATATTGCAAAACGTTTTGGATTCGGTACATCTACTGTCTACCATTTGGAAAAACAAAATTACATTGTTTTCTTTTACTGTCCATTTGACGAAAACTCTTTACAATACGCAATAAAATGCCCTGTCCCTTCAATTTAGCTCTATAGAGTTTACACTGTATTAAAGTTTTGCCATATGGATTTTTTTTACTCCTTGCTCGATAACTTCTTAGCTTTGTACACTACATTATAACTAACTAGCAGTAAACAGTTTAAATATTAAATAATTAAAATGTTTTAATTGAATACATTCACCAAGAGCGTTAACCATGTTCTTTACTCTATCTTTAGGACATTCTTATTTACCACAGGAGCTTCTGGATACCATAGTTGTACCTATTGTTAAGGGAAATATAACCTCAAATGGCTTAGCAAGATGCTCCGTTATGCCGAAAATATTGCAGCATTAATTTTGAAATAAATATATAGTAAAGCTGAGGATTAATGCTAAGTACTATGTTAGAGACGAAAACGTGATTTCGTATAATTTTCTCGATAGAAAAAAAAACAAAAGTTACCTCTTAACTGAACAATAAACCGCTGTTATTTTAAAAAAAAATATTAACAATGCTATAAACATTACTAATATTCCCCTTAACCACTCGTGGTAAGCTTAAATTGCTTGTGTTACGAGTGGTTCACGCCAGTAGTCGAATGGAGGATTCGAACCCACGACCTTTTTGAGTCGCGGTCCGCGCCCTGCCATTAGGATACTGTCGCTTAAATATATATGTCGCATAAAATACAATAAACAAAAATTTTAATAATATTTTCACTAAAGAAATTACCTAAACAATCACCAATTATATTAAAATAAAAAATGATTTCAATTTGTCTCGTCATTATCTAGCCCTGTATGAAAACAAAAAAGTAAAAAAAGAGTATGTTTAGAAGTTATAAGCGTCGAAAATTCCGAATTTCAACACTAGTTTTAACACATCTTTGGGCGGAAATAAATACCACAAGAAGAACGAAAATTGCAAAACAGTTACCATACAGGGATAGATTAGTTGTTCAAAAATGCAAATAATTTTATTTTAAACAGATACATTCAATAGATTTTTCGTGACATCCAGACTACCAAAGGTCTGTTTATAAAATTTCGCGCGCCCGTTTTTGTTATAAAACATCTTGCCTTTCGCTACAAGTTGTTTCCCCGATCAGTGGGACGGACGGACGGAGGGGGGGGGGCGCAGCGCGCCCTCACGCATGCTCACTAGGTTAGCCGCTGCTATCTATTTATGGTTGTAAAACCTACATATCTACATCTTTATTTAGAAAAATTGCTTCCTTTTGTTCGTGTCCATTGCTGAAGCCGGGATGAATATAGCTGCTAAAATGTGCCCTTAAGTTTGTTGAAGCACATGTAGTTAAAATTGAAAACAGGTAGGTACATAATAATGAACTTTCGATACATGTAGTACATTAGGTACTTAACTACTTTAATTTGCTAACTAACGAAAACATAATGATTTCTTATATTTACGCGAACACTATACATGATTAAAACTACTTTTACGGATTTTATCGCGTTTATTTTTACTTTTTATTTTACTTTTATTTTTAATTCCCGACGTTTCGGGCGCTTTCCAGCACCCATGGTCACGGGGGGACTGAGATGACTGACGTCCCGATGTCATTGTTAAACCCGGAGTACCTTCAGCTTTTTTAATTATTGTTTATGGTCCGATCTATGCAAAATGAACTGACTATGTCCTGAGGTCTTGCAGTGGTATGTTTGGGTTTAGTTTTAATTTTATTGATTATAGGATCCCAAGCAGGTGGTAGTACCCAGCCTCCTTCTCTATTGAAATTAGGATAATAATAATATAATAATAATAATCATTTATTCAAATAAAAGTACAATAATAGAGTGAAGACTCTGATTCCCAAACTAGACAAGTCTGTATCTTAGGAATCAGTGGCCTCTCCCAGTGTTGTGACAACAGTATTTTAGTCTTAACAATTAATTAAGTAACTAAGCTTTACATTTTTAAGTAATTGTTTAGCTAATTGAATGTATTTATTTACAACGAAACATATACTTTAACTTAATGCGACTCTTTAGTCGTTATTATATTTCATATAATCGTAGGTATATTAAAATTAGTTTGCAATTTGCAATATATATACATATACATACACACACGTATATACATATACATACACATACACAATATATATATATATATATATATATATATATATATATATATATATATATATATATACATAGAATATATAGAATATATTATTATATAATTTCATACAGAATATATATTTTATTCATTATAACCTATAATAAATAAAT